TTCGATTTCCAGCAACAAGGAGCTGCCACCACCGTCTACTGTGCTGCCGCTCCGGAACTCGAGGGCCTGGGAGGGATGTATTTCAATAATTGCTGCCGCTGCATGCCCTCACTGGAAGCTCAGAATGAAGACACGGCCCGGGCCCTGTGGGCGCTCAGCGAGAGGCTGGTCCAGGAGCGGCTTGGCATCCAGTCCAGCTAAGTCAGGGCTCCCGCAAGGATCGCACACACACCCACCACGTGTGCGCACACAACTGCCAATGCTGGACCCCTTCCAGTCCTATGATCCAGAGGGTTTCCATGTCCCTCTAACACAGATCAGCCAGGGTAAAGGAAATAAGAGCAGTCACAACAGAGTGAAAGATGTTAAGTACCAATGGGAAACAGGGAATTCCAGGGGTAGAGGGACAGTATCTCTTTTGGGGGGGCTGGGTTAGATGTGAGTCTCTTTGCTTTCCTGGTGGTGGCCTGTTTGAGAGTAAAACCTTGGTTGGTATGTGGATTCCTTCTGTTATTGAAGAAGCACAAGCAATCCTCTCTCACTGTTTAGAATCGTCTGGTGTCCCCTGCCCCACCCAGCCACCACCATTGCCACCACTATAGCCCAGGAGCTGGGTTTCTCCTATTATTTAGGGAAGAAAAAGCAAGTGTTTTTTCTTCATTCCTGCATTGATCCAGGAGATAATTGTTTCATTCATCCTGACCAAGTCTGAGTGGGCTTGGCAATTGTCAGGGAGAGAAATTTCAGAGCCTTGTTCCAGCCAGCCAAGATGGTGGTAACATTTAGAAACGAGTAGAGTAGGCAGAGCCAGGGTCGCAAAAGCACCAAGCATCAACTCCCTTGCCAAAGCTATAGAAAATTTTCTTTAGCGATTACAACAAACAAGTTTTGCAAATTATTCACCAGATACCTTGACAGGCAGGAAAGGAAGCATTGCATCCTTAAGAATATACAGGATATTTTGGGGGTGGGGGGTAAAAAGTTGTTCTGTTAATGCTTCATTCACAGCTTTAAGAAGTAACCTGCTCTCTGAAGTTCACAGTCTCTCAGTTGTCCTGCTTTAGCATTCTGCTTCAACTTCCTTTTCTTCCTCCCATCTTATGCTTAATAAAAGAACATGCTTGAATATTATCCCCTGAAGTTTGTATTGTTTCTTTAAATGTTTGTTTCAGTTTTTGTTTAGCTTTTTTTATTTTTAGAAAAAAAATCTAGAGGAAAAATAAAGCGCTTCTTGTAGACTCCAGGAAAAACACCATTCTTGTTTCTTCTCTGAGTTCGTTTTTGTGCTTTGTGGCTGTCTGTGGGCCAAGTTGTCTCACGCGATTAGCATGCCAGCATCGTATTTTCTGTTAAAAAAAAAAAGAAGAAAGAGAAAGAAAAATGACTATTGTTTGATTTCACCTTAAGATGCTTTGTTATTATTTACAGTGGGTTATTTTGGTCCTTAATGGTTTGTAGCCCCTGTAATTATCAACTACTTAGTCATTAGAGAGTATCTCTGTGTATCAGAATGAGGAAGTTTGGGGCTCCTTCCCTGTCATCCCTGTTAACTTACATCCTGATTTCCGGGTCATTCCGGCAAAGACATGAGAAAGTCCACTCTGGCAAGATGAAGAGAATGCTTTTCCTGAAATACCAGGAAGGCTCTGATCCTCTGCCTCTGTAGTACAATCTGTTCAAGCACCATGCTTTTTGGTGGCCCATAGCCTGCATACATTCTCCCATCTGGCCATATTCTTCCTTACAAAATCCTCATTATTATAGATCCTTTTAAACTATGAATCAGATACTGCTACCTTTCTGGTCAAAACCCAATGCCTTTGAGGTAGATTGCCAAATGGCTGCCATAATTCTCCTCCCAGTATCCATATGCTAGGTGGTCCCCTCCTACATGAACTCTGGCCTTGGCCACATAATTACTTTGACTAGTTTGAGAAGTATTTGCACCTTGGGGCTTGCCCTTTCTTGCTGCCCCTTGAAACATTGCAGCCACCCTCATGTGAATGAGCCTGGGCTAGCCTGCTGGATGACGAGAGACACATGGTCCCTCTCTGGGCTGACATCAGCTAACCACTAGGCACGTGAGTGAGGCCATCCCACACTACCCAGCCCCAGTTGAGCCAGTCCAGATGAGCAGAACCTCCCCAGTCAACCCACAGAACTACAAGAAATAATAAGAGTTTGTTATTTTAAGCCACTAAGTTTCAGGAAGGAGTCTCTGGGTGGCACAAATGATTAAGCACTCTGCTACTAACGGAAAGGTCAGCATCCGAATCCACCCAGATGCACCTCAGAAGAAAAGCCTGACAATCTGCTTCTGAAGAATCACAGCCATTGAAAACTCTATGGAGCACAGTTCTACTCTGAAACACATGGGGGCGCCATGAGTTGGAATCAACTTGATGGCAACTGGTACTGGTAAGTTTCAGGATGACTTGTTGGGCAATAAAAGCTAACTGATAGAGCTTCTCATCTCACTGAGTAAAGTCCTAAGTTTTTACCATAGCCTACGCGTTCTCTCGTAACCTGGTCCTCGACTACCTTTCTGATCTCATGGTCTAGCACTTTATCCTCACCTACCCTGTGTAGCCACCCTGGCCTTCTTATGTTTCTCAAACATGCCAAGCACACTCTCAACTCAAGGACTTTATACTTGCTATTCCCTCTGCTGGAATGCTCTTCCTCCAGGGACCTTCATGGCTCCCTCCCTTACTGCATTCTGGTTTCAGCTCAAATGTCACCCTGTTCTAATGAGGTGACACTTCTGATCAGTACATTCATGGGCACCCCATTCCACCTCCCCTGACCCTTTATTTTTCTCCACAACACTTAATACTGCAGACATGTACCTATCTATTTAATTATTTTCTGTCTCCACTCCATGTTATATAAACTCCATGAGACTTATCTCTTTTGTTCACAAAATAGTGACTCGGACTGCTCCTGTCACACAGTAGGTGCTCAATAACTAACCATTGAAGGAAAGAATGATCTTTGATGGCTAGGCATTAAGTTCATGAACAGAATTTCAATCAGAGTTAGAATGATCATGTGCCACACACTGTGCTAAGCAGGCTACAACATTATGTCTAATTTCTGATGGAACCACAACTCTACAAGATGTCTCCCTCTTCTCATTTCATAGATGAAGAAACTGAGGCCAAGATATTTCATAATTTGCCCTTGTCCACACAGAAGTATACATATGCAGAAGCATATACAGCGGCGGAGCGCATGTACACAGAAGTGTATCTACACAGAAGTGGTAGAGCTATGGCCACACCCAGGTCTGTGTGATTTCCCTGCATTCGCGCCACCTCACCTTCAAGAAGTTGAAAATGTCCTTTCTGATAATACATTCCATCTTAAGGTCTCAGGTTGAGCAGAAAGTGACCTCACATGTCTGGGTGTAGCCAAGCTTTAGGCATTTGGTCAAGGTGGAAGTTAAGCAGGGCCAGAGAAGACCTTGGAGTATCATCAAGGCCAAGGTGATTCCAAAAGAACGAAGAGAACCAAGAGAGGATCTGCCAGCTACCTGCCTCCCCACAGACCCCTGTGCTGAACGATTCCCATGTGGACCCTGCATCAGGCTGGTAAGGTGAGCCCTGGGGGGCCAGACAAGGGGAGGTCAGGATCCCCTAAATCAAAGCGACCCCCTAGGGCATGAGGCTAAGCCTTCATTCATTCATTTAACAAACAGACTGAGCACTAAATTCTGGAAATTCCAAGTTTGCGGTAACCCCCCCACAGTCCCTGCTATAAAAGAATTTGTCAGGTCTATAGGAGTCCTCATAATGCACAAGGTCCTAATCAGCTTTATCACATTCTCTCCAGCTCACCTGCAGAGGAACAGTGTCTGCACCTAGTCTAGACCTCCAGCCACCAAACCTGGTTAGTCAGACACAGCCCATCACTGTGGGCCATTTCCCTGCCAGATACGTTAGTCCTACTTCTTTGGCTAAATTCCACGGGGGATTTCTGAACAGGGAAGCAAGTGAGTGGCATAAAGCCTCACTCCTATTTTAGATTACTGTAAAGCCAAGGCTATTTCTCACCATCTGCTGTTTTATATAGATAGATAGATAGATAGATAGTCTCTTTTATTCACAAAATAGTGCCACAAAGTGCTCTTGTCACACAGTAGGTGCTCAAAAACTAACCATTGAAGGAAAAAGTGATTCTTTATGGCTAGGCATTTTGTGTGTGTGTGTGTATGTGTATATATATAATAGATGCTTTAATTATATAATGGAGCCCTAGTGATGCACTGGTTAAGAGCTTGGTTGCTAACCAAAAAGTTGGCAGTTCGAATCCACCAGCTGCTCCTTGGAAACCCTATGGGGCAGTTCTACTCTGTCCTATAGGGTCACTATGAGTCAGAATCAACTGGATGGCACGCAACACCACCACCACCACCATCACTGCTGCTACTGATTGCAGATACCATTAAGAGAGCATCTACGATATGTCAGAGACTGGTCTAAGCAGATGACAACCACCTTATTTTATGTACTGATGGTGAAACTGAGGCTTAGAGAGGAAAAAGTAACCAATCCACAGTCCCACAGCTGGTGAGTAGCAGAGTCGGGATTTGCAGCCAGGTCTATCTGCCTTCCAGCCCATATGATTTACAATGTACCCTACTGTTTTATAAGTGGCCTATAGACTCAGCAGTATATGTCTATTAATTTTATACAATGGATGAGTTATTCACAAAGGCAGACTACTAGTCTTCTTACCTAAGAATGGGATCTGGCCCTCCTCCTGATACCCAGTGCTATGCATAAACTTTACAAATTGTTTTTGTACCTGCCGTTTATCCAGCAATATTGGCATCAGTGCCACCTACCTTTCCCAATAGACCTGTTTCTGATTACTCCTGTTCTGATTGTAAGTAGGTCTGTACCTGGCCTTCTTTCCTTGGGCTTAGCTTCTCAATGACTCAATGCCCAGAGTTTTCCAATATTTTCCTGACAAGATAGAATCCTCCCGAAATAGGCAGGGTGAGGAGGTTTCTCTATTTCAATTTCCTCTTTCACCCTCAAGTTTTTCAAAATCCAAAGACCCCCAAACCATGACTGATTAAAGACCTTTCTGCAACTTATCAATAGGAAACCAGAGATTGAAGCATCCCCGGCAATGACTGAAGCCTGTGGCTTGTGGTTTTGCTCTTGAAAATGGGGTTATGGGTGGTTTTGTTTTGAACTTCAATGAAGGAGGCCTGATTACTTTCATTAAGGTCAACAGTAGGCCAGAAAGCCTTGGCTTGCAAAATGGCTGCCCATTCCAGTCACCAGCACATACCATTTTTGGAAGTTTACATAAAAAGTTATCTAAAATAGCAATACTTTTCCTGTGTGTTAACTCATTGTGCCTTTCAAAATATCCAGACTATTGATGGTTGTTGTTGGTGGAACTCACTAAATAATATCACAAAATATTATCCACATTATCGCTGAAAAACTACTCTGACTTGACGTGTTTATTGATAAGATGGTAGAGCCACAATGAAGATCATTATTTAAAAAGAAAAACACAATGCAACTATTGTAACTCACAATGCCACTGTTTTCATCTTTGCTTATTATCTTTCAGGTCTTCGTACAATTTGGTCTCGTGCCTTTTTTTCCCCCTCAAGAAAATCATTGTATTTCTAAAAGTTTTCACAGTTATTTTAATGGGTATCTAATATATCACCTTGCTGATGGGCCACAATTTGGTAACCCATTTCCCTACTATTGGACATTTGGGTTATATCTAATTACTACTTTTAGGCTTAATGGTATAATTAACATCTTTATACATATAGCTTCTATTTATTTACCTCCTTCTCCAGCAGAGGTGGAATTACGAGGTCAAAGAGCTCTTGTTTGGCTTTTGCCTTATTGTGCCACAAAGCTAGCTAAGAGGGATGTAGCAGCAGAACATGCTTGTTGAACATGCTCGTTTCTATTTCATCACAAATCTGTCAGCATTGGGTGTTACTATTAATTTTTTTTTTAACTTATTTTAACATCATATTGTCACAACCTATAAATACTTATACATAATAGTCCCAAGCAGCTGGTCTCCTTATTTAAAGTATAAGCATTTTTTCTTTCATTTTCCCACAGGACCAAGTCAAGACTTTAT